CTGCCGAAGTACGACTGCATCAGACATCGAGACGCTCTGGCGTATTATAACCACACTTATTTAATTCTGTTGCAGGTAGCCTCGATTTTATGTCGACACCACCTAGCGGATTTTACTGAACTAAGGTGAAAAGCTGGCGTATTTTTGCTAAACTTTGTGCTCATTTATTGCTATTGTTATTTAATTTTTTAAGATAAAAACTATACTAAAACCATCTAGGAAGTTTCATGAATCAGTGTGCAAAATTTCAGCAAAATCGGTTCAGTAGTTTTCGCGGTTAGCGATTACAACGGTTTTAGAGACTTTGCTTTATATATTAGTAAGATTTAACGATTGAATCTTAACATAAATGCCTATCATTAGATGACTCGAGGTACTTAGTGATTGCTTGCATATTTAGTCAAGCCCTGATTAAACATTAAGCCCTTAAGTAACCCCGTAAACGGCTAATATTATTAATCATAACTTAAATCATTAATGAAGTATTTACAAAGCACCTTAGAAGAACCAGCAATACATGCTCAAATTATCAAAAATTGTGTCACAAAATAATATTCGTTTAATGAACAAAGTTTTTACTTAGTACCCAGGGTTACATAAATAGAGTCACTTATGTAATTAATTATTTACTTTTAAAACTAATAAAGTGGCTAGTTAATACCCTGATTAACCTAGTTATAGGCATTTATGTTATAAATTGTTTATTTTTATTAATAATAAAGTGACTGGTGAGCACCTTACGTTACCTGGTAATAGGCACTTATGTTATTAATTATTTAAATAGTAAAGTAGCTAGTAAATGCCCTGAGTTATGTGGTAGCAAGGATTTATATCATTAATTATTTATTTTCATAACTAATTGAATAAAAGTAAGCACCTCGAGTCACCTGGTGGTACCCAGTTATGTTATTGATTTATTATTTTTACTATTAATAAAATGGCGAGTGAACGCCCCGAGTCATCTGGTAATAGATACTTATGTTATAAATTATTAATTTTAATAAATAATAAAGTAGCCGTTGAACGCCCTAGGTTATTTGGTGATAGATGCTTGTGTTAATACTTAGTTTTGTTGATAATAAAATGACCAGTAAATCCGCTGGTTCTGCTGGTGGTAGAAACTTGTATTATTAACTAATGCATGTGCATTAGTTAATAATACAAG